GCTACAGTGTCAGTAATCCATCTCTAGGTGAAATGAACACCAGAGACCTATTTACCTCAAGAACTGTGTTCCTGCCTTCTAAATTTTGATTTGCCTAGAGGATACTGGCAGCTTTCTGGATAAAAAGAAATGAGAGAGGAAATAAAGAAAAGGAAGGAAGGAAGGAAGGAAGGAAGGAAGGAAGGAAGGAAGGAAGGAAGGAAGGAAGGAAGGAAGGAAGGAAGGAAGGAAGGAAGGAAGGAAGGAAGGAAGGAAGGAAGGAAGGAAGGAAGGAAGGAAAGAGAGGGAGGAAGGAAGGAGGAAGGAAGGAAAGAGAGGGAGGAAGGAAGGAGGAAGGAGGAAGGAAGGAAGGAAGGAAGGGAGGAAGGAAGGAAGGAAGGAAGGAAGGAAGGAGAGGGAGGAAGGAAGGAAGGAAGGAAGGAAGGAAGGAAGGAAGGAAGGAAGGAAGGAAGGAAGGGAGGAAGGAAGGAAGGAAGGAAGGAAGGAAGGAAGGAAGGAAGGAGAGGGAGGAAGGAAGGAAGGAAGGAAGGAAGGAAGGAAGGAAGGAAGGAAGGAAGGAAGGAAGGAAGGAAGGAAGGAAGGAAGGAAGGAAGGAAGGAAGGAGAGGGAGGAAGGAAGGAAGGAAGGAAGGAAGGAAGGAAGGAAGGAAGGAAAAGGAAGGAAGGAAGGAAGGAAGGAAGGAAGGAAGGAAGGAAGGAGAGGGAGGAAGGGAGGAAGGAAGGAAGGAGAGGGAGGAAGGGAGGAAGGAAGGAAGGAAGGAGAGGGAGGAAGGAAGGAAGGAAGGAAGGAAGGAGGTAATATTTTTACCCCTGCTCTGAACAGAAGACCCATGCAGCAGCAAAGTCAGCAGGGCGAACTAACTGCCTTAAGAAACAAAAACAGTGCAAAAACTTTATTTTCCAGCAAAAGAGAGGGAGAGACTACCATTGCTCTTAATCATTATATGTTGGAAATTCATCCTCCACACTTTAGGAAGACGATTTGATGTTTGGGCCTCAACGTAGCAAAAGGCACAGTTACAATAAGCAGGAAAGGGCTCTCCAGAAGGGCAGCTTTGAAACTCGAGAGTGTGGTTTTGATCCATAAGCAATTGGATGATAGCTACTGGTAAGACTGGCCCTAACAGCTGTTGTGGGAAAGATTATGATGACTGGATTAGTTCATTTGATCTTGACTCTATAGATCTGGTGATCATTTCTCAGACATATGTCAGGGCTTTCTAATTTGGAGGGTGGAACACCAGTGTAAACCATAAGCCACATAAAATAACTTCATCCACAAGTCTTAGAGACTTGACAGGGCTTTGGCAATATGGCTGGCCCTTGGGCACCTGATCATATCAGAGGCAAGATAGAAACCTAGGTCTTCCTAACTCCAAGGGCATCATTTTATCTACCTTGCACACTTTCCCATAAACACAGATTGGAAAAATCCTAATAGATTTCAGATTAGTCCAACAATCCTAAGTTTTAGCCTCAAAGGTGCAGTTAGGTGGTGCCATAGTGCACAGAGCACCAGGCCTGAATCAGGAAGACTCATCTTCCTGAGTTCAAATCTGGCCTCAGATACCCACTAGCTGTGTGACCCTGGGCAAGTGGATTAACCCTGATTGCCTCAGTTTCTTCATTCATCAAATGAGCTGGAGAAGAAAATGGCAAACCTTTCCAATATCTTTACCAAGAAAGTCCCAAATGGTTTCATAGAACTGGACACAACTGAAAAATGACTGAAAAACATCAAATAAATATTCAAAACAGAAGTCCATGCTCTAAAAACATAAATGGAATTTGTTACAAGTTACTAGGAACTAGAAAGTTATTTCCCTTAGGATGATTTGGGGAAAAAAATAAATTGCCACTGGCTAGGACTTCTGGGAAACATTCTTGAAATTGGCAAAAATTCACTATAACTTATTTAATTCATCAACAAGTTTTGTTGTTCTTGTTCAGCTGTTGGTTTGGGGGTTTATTTGACTCTTCTGACTCCATTTAGGGTTTTCTGGGCAAATATATTGGAATGGTATGCTATTTCCTCCTCCAGCTCACTTTACAAATGAGAAAACTGAGGAAACAGGGTTAAGTGACTTGCCCAGAGTCTCACAGCTAGTCAAATGCCTGAGGCTAGGTTTGAACTCAGGAAGATGAGTCTTCCTGACTCCAGGCTTGGTGCAGTGTCCATTGCACCATCTAGCTGCCCATTCAACAAGTACAGGGGCTATATTCTTGGTGAGACTCCCAAGGGGCTGTGGAAGCATGTGGTGTATTCTCTGCCCTCCAGGTATTTATGGGTTAGTGAATTTGAAATCAGTAGGACTTGGGTTCAAATTCCATTGATCACTAGTTATGTGAGCAAGTTGCTTTCCCTCACTGTGTCTCAGTTTTCTCATCTGCAAAATGGGGTGGAAGTGGACTTGATAACTTCTAAGGTCCCTTCTAGTTTTGAACCTTTGATCCTATGATTAGAGGGATAGAATGTGGCAATCTGGTGAAGTAATTTAGTGTCCTAACTCAAGGGAATGAAGATATTAACATGAATTCCATGGCAAACTGAAACTGGCACTTTGCTGCCCCTGGTTCTGAATGTTGGCCCAACGTTTGTCATGCATGTTACAGTGGAACATGCTTATTTATCACTTCCACTGCCAAAGGGCCTTTTGTGTCTGAAGAGGGCACTAAGTCAACAGTAAGGTCTGTGTCTCAGTAGTACCGATGTAGGAGGACATTCTTAGCATAGGGTGGCATCCTCTGGAAAAATAACAACAAAAAGATCTTTCTGATTGCCTCCCTCTTGAAGACCATTAATCATAACCTGTCCATCCAGATGAGAAGGAAACACAGAGGCACAGCAGGAACCCAACAGCTGCAAGCTGAGAAATGGATCTGCATTCTTTCATTAAATGAATAAATAGCAAATGAGCTTAAACATCTAGGTCACAATTTATTTTTAGCAAAAAGCTGTGGAAATAGTCTTATTTTATATTGGCAAAACCAAAAAGTAGTGTCTTTTTAATAGGCACAATGTGTCCCAAAAGTCTTGGCGCAATTAAAAACTGTGGTAAGATCTTTGGAACGCACTGGTTTTTTTTTTTGTATTATCTAATACACCGCGAAATATAGTATTGCACATTTTTAGCTCAGCCTATACAGCTAGGAGTCATAGTGGATAGAGTACTGGGCCTGGAGTCAGGAAGACTCATCTTCTTGAGTTCATATCTACCCTTAGACACTTACTGTGTGACCCTGGGCAAATTGTTTAACTCCATTTGCCTCAGTTTCCTCATCTATAAAATGAACTGGAGAAGACAATGGCAAACCACTCTAGTATATTTGCCAAGAAAACCCCAAATGCAGTCATGAAAAGTCAGACTTGAGGGAAACAACTGAACAACAACAACAGCATGATATTACTGGTCTAGGGAATGCCCAGTGAGGAAACTGTGTCCATCAGTAGAGACAGGCAATCATTTTGCCATATATGGACTTAATGAATTGTCTTGGACACTGGGAAGTTAAATAGCTTTTGACATAGGATGAAAAACAAATGTGTCAGTGATGAGATTGAACCCCAGTCTTTCTGACTCTGAAGGTACCTTGCTCTCTCCACTATACCACAGCGCCTCAATTATCACCTCCGAGCCTCCCATTCACCCCAGCTATCTCCTTGACATCTGCTCTACCTCTGATCCTCATGCACTTCCCATTGGGCCTCCTAAGAACATGCCTCCATGACAATCCATGCAGCATTGGAACCACTATCGCGGGGCTGTATTTTTTATGTGGCCCATTCCATCTAGCCAATCTCCAACCTTAGACCAAGCTATACATTCCAGCTATCTAATTACCACTGACACCAAGTTAATGCCCTACAGCCACCTACCCCCATTTTCCACTTCTAGGCTGAGAACTGTAATCAAATCTATACTGCCATTGATTCTGGAAAGGGAGCATCGACTAACTCCCCCGTAGCCTCCTCACCATCCCTGGGGCTTCCCAAATCAAACCATCCCTTCCTTGCTATCACTCCTTCCTCCACACCAGGATGAAAAAACCTTGAGCGTAGGTAATGTCCTGCTTTTGTGTTTGCATCCCTAGCACTCAGCACAGTGTTTGACACACAGTAAGTATTTACTAAATTCCTTTCCTTCATTCATTTATTCATTCATTCATTGTTATTGTTACTATTAATAATTTTTTGGACCAGACCTATGATTTCATTAGTATAGAACACTACTGATGAAGAAAACTCCCTCTCCCAACTCGACTCTAGTTCTTTGTAAAGGAAGGGTTTTAGAGAATTGCCTAGATGCTAGAGCAGTGGAAGGCTCCGTGGCTTGGCTATAGTCCCAGCCATGTCACTGTGTCAGATGCCAGACTTGAAATCCGGACTTCTGGACTTTAAGTATAGCTTTCTTTCCACTACACCTTCCTGCATCTAACATGTATTGTGTGTGTGTGTGTGTGTGTGTGTGTGTGTGTGTGTGCGTGCACATGTGTTTGTATAAAGAGGAGCCTTTTAATACTTTGTTAGGATTTTAGTCTTTTTGAGATATTTCAATCTGACTTTTCCTTCCAAGGCAATGTGGACTTAGATTGTGTGGACTGAGTTGTAGACAGGATGCATACATCCATGTTTTATAATCAGTATCTTAGGCAAATAGAAGGAACTCATTTTTATCCCAATTTTTTTATCCCAATTTTTACCCCAATGTAAATCAATAAAAATATTACTATGTCTATTTCTTTGTTCTTTAGAATTGAGGTTTTTCAATTAAAGGGTTTCCATTCTCCTATTTAGCATCTAGATTGTTTGGTCAGTAGTAAGATCACTGCGGGCAGTCCACTTAGGGGTGGGTCTGGACCTGTGCTTCTACTGAGAGAGGGAGTCCACAGTGAAGAAACACACTTTATAAATGAAAATTGACAGCTGGAATGATTTCTTCTCCTTAGATTGTGAACTCCTTGAGGGCAGGGACTGTCTTCTGACTCTTTTTTCATCCCCAGGGTTTAGCACAGTGCCTGGTGCTTAGGAGGAGCTGAATAAATATAAATCGATTGACTGATTTCCTTGGATTGCTGAGACATTACATGACTTGTCCAGAGAGACACAGTCTATATATGTCAGAGGCTGGATTTCAACCCAAGTCATCCTGGCTTGCTCCATTACTTACTCCATGACACTGCTTCCCTGGTAAGAAGCATTTGTTGTTCTTCATGTCTGACTCTTCATAACCCTATTTGAGGTTTTTTTGACAAAGATTCTGGAGTGGTTTACCATTTCCTTCTCCAACTCATTTTAAAGCCGATGAAACTGAGGCAAATGGGATTAAGTGACTTTCCCAGGATCACACAGCTAGTGAGTGTCTGAGGCTGTATTTGAACTCAGGTCTTCCGGACTCCAAGCCCAGCACTCTATCCACTGTGCCACCTAGCTGCCTGGTAATAAGCATGGAGATTATAATATCTCTCCTATCTGGAGGTCACTTATCTGACCACCTCAAATGTCCCAAACCCAGCTATGAGTCAACACAAAATCCTTTAAGGACTTGCAAGGAAAATGATTGACAAAAGTTGCATTTCCTTCCTTCAACAAGAGCAGTGTGATGCCAACATTAGACCTGCATTCAGACAGTTATGGGTAAACCAGGGAAGCAGATTCAGAATAGATGGAGCAAACTGATGGCAGCAAGAAATCACAAATTTGGGCTGAAGAACATGAAAAAGCTATTGAGAAGCAGGCAGAAGAATTATTAAAACCCATTTGGACTCGATTGGGTTTAGCAGCTAATGGCTTTCCATTCCTCAATGCCCCTTAAGGTACTATTGTATTCAAACAAAGAACAATAATTGATGTTGTTGATAACGATGGAGAGCACACCTAGAAGACTGCTTTTGCTTCTGGCAGATGGCATGATATATAGTGCACTACCCTTGGAGTCAGAAAGACCTGAGGTCAAATCCATCCCCAGACATGGTGACCCTGGGCCAGTCACTGACTCTCCCTAAGCCTCTTCTCTGCAAAATGAGACAGTTCTAAGATACTTTCCAGTTACATACTTAGCGGCCAAGATTTTTATCAGGGGATGTTGCCTCTTCATACTCTCCACTTAGATGGATCTTTGCCATACCCATTAAAGATTCCCAAAAGCATGTAAACCATGCCTTCTGCTTTCCCATGCTGTGTATCTTGTGCCCATTTCTTCCTTGAAACCCTCCACAGGGGATGCATCCAAAGATCTAGCAGCTTTCCTGCAGATGTCCTGACATTGCACAAATATCGGTGAAATACACAGTTACCTGTCACTCTCTCTCCATTAGGGTTGTTCACAGTGGATCCCAATGGTAGTTTGATGGTCAATGAAACTCTTCTCCAAATAATGTCTTTTAACCCACAAAACAAAATATATAGGATTACAAGGGAAAGCAATTTTACTGAAATATAATTATAAATAAAGGTCCTGGGCCCTAGGTTAAGTTCCCTTGACAAGACTGGCCCACTGCCTTTTCCAATGAACTGTCTCTTCTATGACATGAACCATGATGTTTCTGGTGTCCAGGTCTCCATTTGGTAGAGCGTATCTAGGCTTACCACGTTTCTGTTGATTGACCTTTAGATGATGCAATTTTGCTTCAATGATTTAATTCCATATGGAGAGATGAAAAAAGTGTCAGGCCTGGACTCGGGAAGATTCATCTTCCTGAGTTCAAATCTGGCCTCACATACTTTCTAGCTGTGTGGATTTGGTCAAGTCACTTAACCCTGTTTTCCTCAGTTTCCTCATCTGTTAAATGAGCTGGAAAAGGAAGTGGCAAGCCACTCCAGTTTCTCTGCCAAGAAAACCCCAGTGGGATCACTAAGATTCAGACACAATTGAAAAAGCAACTGAATGACAAAAAGAAAATGCCACTGAAAGAATAATGGATGTTAAAAGTAATGGATTCTCATTTCAAGGGAAAACTTGAGGGTCATTAAAAACACATCACAGTTCCCCAAATGGAATCCTCTCCATTATCTCCTTCCCACTAATCCTTGGCAATGTTTGCCCACGTGGCATTTCTGCCCAAGATACTTCTACTAAGTTACCAGTTTGGGTGGTTGTCAACCCCAGCATGTTATCATCTTCCAGAGTCTAGGAATTCTTCATCCTTTTGGGTTGTTTTTTTCTGCGTAGACAGTCTGACTGAGCTCTTTTGAGGAATTTTGGATTCCATGTAGAGATGTTCCCCAGGACTTGGTTCAATAAAACATGATGCCATTTACAACAGAGCATCTGGAGAATGGTATCATCTGCAGGGAATCCCTTTTCCATTTGGCCTTTTCTTTGTACTTCTTCCATGGCCATGGACAGCATGTCACCCATCAAATGGTAACCAACTCCTTTTTTATACTATTGCTTACTGTAACCCATTCGTGAAAACAGCTTGAAATCAAACATTCATTGGGAAGAATTGGCAGCTCTTTAGGATGAAGAAAAAGTACTATCTGTGCCTCTCATACTCCTTAAAAACCTTCAGTACAGCATCATCCGACGGCATTTAAGAGCTGATTAGGAGAGAAGGAATGAGCTGGTGATGAAACCACTCTCCACTCCTTTTTTTTTTCTTTCTAGAGTCTCATTGTACTGCCGTCATCATCCCCAAATTGAGACTTCAGAGCTGAATCACCTCTTTGACACAGAAGGTCAATTCCCTGCCTTGTGCTATTTTCAGCACTGCATTATTCAGTTAGATTGGCAGTACTCTTAATTAACACCCTGTCCATATTTACTGTTAAAGTTCACAAGAAGATGGGAAACAAATTCACCAAAGACATGTAGGGCCCATAATCTGAGTTTTTGCAGCATGTAAAATGAAAATGATTTTCAACTGAGCACGCAGCCCATCCACTCCCTCAAATTGCATATTGGAAAATTATATTTTCTAATTATTCTGTATTGATCACCTGCATCTTGCTAGAGTGAGCATACTGTGGCTATGTTCCCTTGCTGCTAAGGATTTACATGCTGAAGAAATAATGCAGAACAGCATATATTCTTTCTTTCCAAAACAAAAACCTCTGAAGTTTAGATGGATACTAGGAGGCATTATATAGATAACTGACTGATTTATGTTGGGCTTTGACTGAGGAGAATAGAGGTCCCAGGGTGCATAAGTATCTAAATGAATATCCATGTGGCCAAAAATTGTGCAACATTTAAAATAGTCTTGCAGCTCAGAAAAGAAAATTGGATAATTTTGATATTTGTCCAAGGAGACAGAAATATAACAATACTTTCTTTGGGATGTGAGTATGACACAATCTGAATAGCACATCATTTAAAAGAGGTGTAAATGACAGAGCATGAGGAATGAGCTAGAAAAGCATGCTCACAATCAGCCATGGGTTTTTTCACACAGATGGCCCCCAGAGATTCACGCCTTAGCACAGCCCTCACACCGTACGCATTCATAACATACCACGTGCCTCATGGGCATTGTGATATTAATGGATGTCTGAGCTTCCTAATTAGCTTGACAGATTGGCGGGGGTCACAGCTACATTTGGAGCCTTGCACAAGGCTAGCTGCTGGGTGACGTTTTATTGTTTTGTTTATCATTTATTAATTACTGCTAACCACCGTGTCAGATGCAGTCTATTTCAAGTGACCTGAATGGCCAGCAGTGCACAAGAGCCTGAGCTGTCCATGGGACTTTCTTTTAGTAAGTTAATTTGCCCATAACTAATAGTACAGATTTTTCAGCCCTGGTAGTGAATCATGTGATGTGTGCAATGTTTGGAGGAAATTGGTTTAATTACCCAAAAAAATGTCACAGCAATAGTTTGGAGAACAAAAAAATGGCAAATCACAAAAATATAATGTGAACGAGGTATAACTAGATATTTTTCTTGTAAAAATGCAAAAATAATTTCTTTATCCTGAAAAAGAATGAGTAGAATATCTACCTTACCTCCCACCTACTTCAAGATGGATAAAATTCAAATGCAATGACACTTTCTTTTCTCAGTAGAGAGGCAGGGGAACGCTATTGACATACCAAGCTGTGCACACTGTCAGACAATCATACACATACGATATATAATTGCATCTATGTATGTACATAGATACATAATGTCTATATGTTTATATGTATTTTATTCTATATTCTATACAAAATGTATTGTATATACATGTGCGTGTATGTATCATGTGTGTAGATGTAAATAAGAGTTGAACAGAAAATTACGAGCTGCCGTTTCTGATCCTGACTGACCATATGTGTACTAGTTCAGCTTTTGAGAGCTTTGAAGAGAAGGGGGCTGCTCCCAGCCATATGTGACTCAGACCTGAAAGTTTTGCATCTTTCAAATGATGAAGTATATCCCCATTGACCATTGAGAAAGAAGAGCTAGTGACTCAGTGGACAACTGTCCTTTTAACTCTTCCATATGACAAGCAGCTCTCTCTTTCTCTAGATTGGGTGGGGGGAGTGGCGCTCCTCTCCCATATTGACCACCTTAAGGCATTTCCCTGTATCTACTAGAGCAAGCCTACTCAACTAGCAGAGCTTGCAATTGAGTCACTGGCTGCCTTCTTTCTTTTGTTTCTTTTACTAGGCAGGTGAATAGATATTGTCCTGGGACTTGGAGTAACCCAGGGAGTTCCAGAGGTCCTGGATCCATTGAGTGGATGTAACTACAAGGGAAGTTTCTTCATCAGAGAAAATAACCACGGGCAGGGAGATGAATGCAAGCTCTGGCCTGGATTAGCAGAAGAAATGGACTGGGAGTTTAGACAGGTAAATGAAATGAAATCTGAAGTGCCTAACCCTGACAACTGTTTTATGTCTAGATGGTTTTAAATAGTGACCTCTGAGCCAAATTGTAACAGTAGTTATAAGTTATATGTGATTGATTCCTTAGATTCTGCACATTTATATTGCAAGTATTTTGTGTGCAGGAAAAAAATACCTGTACCATATCTGATTTATATTTTACTTTGAATACCTTTCTCCTCCTCCCCCTTTGAGAAGATTTTAGACACGAGCTGATACTTAAACCTTAAGTAAAATTTCCATGTAATTCAGGAAGGGAAGGGGTTTCACAAACCACGCAGTTTGAGAAAAAGGGATCCTAACCCCTTTCACTACAGGTCAGGTTCTCCAATAACTGAATCTAATACAGATCATGTGTGCAAGTCCAGATCAGAGGGGATGCTTAAGGGAAAGAAAATGAGAGATTGCTTCAGCCCTATGGACTAGAATCAAGTTTTGTTAGATATTCAAGTACATATATGTTTATACATATACATATAAAGTTGTATATTCACACAGTGGTCAGAAGAAGTGACACAAGGACATTCTCAAGGTCTCTTTGAAGAACTTTCTAGGAAGCAGAATATGAAGACCTTTAAATTTAGAACTTTGCTTTATTTCATATAGAATTATGATATTGTCATTACAACACATCTTTCATCTAAGGATTTCAAAGCATATTGTCTCTTTTTAAAAATGATATTAATGTCTTTTTCCCCCATCTCCATCATTTTCTGATAACCCCATGATGAAATTGAGTCCTTCCTCTTAACAACAGCGACCAGTTAAGAAATATCAACAGACATAATGACTACCTGCTCTTTATCCTAAGGGGAGAGATGTGACAATGTAGATTATTTTTATCAAACCTAAGGATAATGAAAGATAAGACAAGATATTTTTCCAAGACATAAATGTGTGTGTGTGTGTGTGTGTGTGTGTGTGTGTGTGTGTGTGTTTTGAACTACCACATGTAGAAAACATTGGATTTGGAGTTAACACTTCCCTACTCTTTAAGTGTATCAAAGAGCTTGTGGTTAGAAACACAGGATAGAATTACACAATGATAGAATTACACAAATTTAGGCATTCCAAAATTCTCAAGCTTAGGACAATGAATCTCTATTTGATGAAAAGTATTAAGGATGACACATTGTTACTCCATTCCAACCAAAAAGTAATTAGGACTATATCACAAAGATCATACGCTATGACCGGGTGGGCTTACTATTAGGAATGCAGGCTGCTTCAACATTATGAAAACTATCAGCAAAATTGACCATATCAATAACAAAAACAACAAAAAATGTATGATTATATCAATAGATACAGGAAAAGCTTTTTGACAAAATACCATACTCATTCCTATTAAAAACACTAGAAAGCACAGGAACAAATGGAGCTTTCCTTAAAAAAAAGTAATATCTATCTAAAACCACCAGAAAGCATTATCTGTAACAGGGATGAACTAGAAGCGTTCCCAATAAGTTCAGGGGTGAAGCAAGGATGTCCATTAGCACCACTACTATTCAATATTATACTAGAAATGCTAGCTATTGTGATAAGAGAAGAAAAAGAAATTGAATAAATTAGAACAGGTAATGGTGAAACCAAACTAGCACTCTTTGCAGATGGTTTGATCATATAGTTAGAGAACCATAAAGAATCAGCTAAAAAACTAGTTGAAATAATTAACAACTTTAGCAGAGTTGCAGGAGATAAGTGGTGTTGTTCAGTTATTCAGTCATGTCTGACTCTTTATATGTCCATGGACCATAGCATACCAAGCCTTTTTATTCTCCACTGTCCCTCAAAGTCTTTCCAAGTTCATATTCATTGCATCCAAGCCTGCCCATCTCATTCTCTGCTGTTCCCTTTTCCTTTTGCTTTCAATATTTCCCAATGTCAGGGCCTTTTCCAATGAGCCCCATCTTCTCATTATATGGCCAAAGTATTTGATCTTCATCTTCAGTATTTGATCTTCCAGTGAATAGCCTGAATTAATGTCTTGAAGTATTGACTGATTTGGCCTCCTCGTTGTTCAAGAGACTCTCAAAAGTCTTCTGCAGCACCACAATTCAAAAGTGTTAAGTCTGTGTTTTCTGAGTTCTGAGAGTTATCGTCCAACTTTCACTGCCATAGATTGTTACTGGAAAAACCATAGCTTTGACTCTATGGGCCTTTGTTTGCAAGATGATGTCTCTGTTTTTTAATATGCTGTCCAGATTTGCCATAGTTTTGCTCTCAAGGAGCAAGTGTCTTTTAATTTCATGGCTGCAGTCACCACCTGCAATGATTTTTGAGACCAAGAATACAAAATCTGACACTGCTCCCATTTCTTCTCCCTCTGCCAAGAAGTGATGGGACCAGTTACCAAGATCTTAATTTTTTTTTTATGTTAAGCTTCAAGTCACCTTTTACCCTCTCTTCTTTCACCCTCATCAAGAGGCTTCTTAATTCCTCTTCACTTTGTGCCATCAGAGTAATGTCATCTGCATATCTGAGATTGTTGATATCTCTCCTGGCAACCTTAATTCTGGCTTTTGATTCATTCAGCCTGGCATTTCTCATGATGTACTCTACCTGCAAGTTAAATAAGGCTACAATATACAGCTTAGTCATACTCCTTTTCCAGTCTTAAGTCAATCAGCTGTTCCATGTTCAGTTCTAACTGTTGCTTCTTAGCCACCATATAGGTTCCTCTGGAGACAAGTAAGATGATCTGGTACTCCTATCTCTGTGAGCATTTACCACATTTTGTTGTGACCCATACAGTCAAAGGATTTAGTGTAGTCGATGAAGCACAGTAGACGATTTCTGTAACTCCTTTGCTTTCTCCAAAATCCAGTGAATGTTGGTTTGCTTTCTAGTTCCTCTGCTTCTTATAATTTTGGTTCATATATTGCTGAAGTCCAGCTTGCAGAATCTTAAGCATGATCTTACTGGCATGTGAAATGAGTTCAATTGCTTGGTAGTTTGAACATTCCTTTACATTGCCTTTCTTTAGGGTTGGGATACAAACTGATATTTTCCAATCCAGTGGCCACTCTTGTGTTTTTCCAAATTTGCTGGCATATTGAGTACAGTACTTTACCAGCATCATCTTGAAGAATTTTAAATAGATCAGCTGAGATTCCACCACCTCTACTAGCCTTATTGTTAACAGTGTTCCTAAGGCCTGCTTAACTTCATTCTCTGGGATGTCTAGCTATACATCAGCAACCACACCATCCTGGTGGTGATGTTAAGTCTTCCTTGTATAGTTCTTTTGTGTATTCTTGATACTTTTTTTTCTAAATCTCCTCTACTTCCGTTAAATCCCTATCATATTATTCTTTTAGCATGCCCATTTTTTGAATGAAATTTTCCCTTGATATCTCTAATTTTCTTAAAGAGATCTCTCTTCTTTCTTTTCTATTGTTTTCTTCTATTTGCATTGGTCATTTAAGAAAATTCTTGCTTTTCTCTGGAATTCTGCATTCTCCTTTACATTTTGCTTTCCTTCTTTCCTCAGCTATTTGTAGGGGATCGGAATACTAAAGTAGAAAATCAGAAGGTAATTGGAATAATAGCCAATTTGGCCTTGGAGTACAAAATTAAGCAGGGCAGAGAATTTTTTCAAGATAACTTACTAATTATGACAAACGCTCTTTTTCAACAACCCAAAAGGAAACTCTACACATGGACATCACCAGATGGTCAATATTCAAATCAGATTGATTTTATACTTTGCAGGTAAAGGTGGAGAAGCTTTATACAGTCAGTTAAAACAAGACTTGGAGCTGTCTGTGGCTCAGATAATGAGCTTCTTATTGCAAAATCCAGACAAAATGAAGAAAACAGAAAAACCATCAGACCATATAGGTATGACCTAAATAACAGCCCTTATGAATATGAAGTGGAGGTGATGAATAGATTTAAGTCATTAGATCTGGTAGATGGAGTGCCTGAATAACTATAGGCAGAGATTCACAGCATTGTATAGCAGACAACAACAAAAAACATTCCAAGGAAAAAGATGAGCAAAAGCCCAGATAAATTATCAGCATTTGTATATATTGCCAAGAAAGTCTAGTAGCAAGAGACAGAAATAGTAATTCCATTTAAAATATCTGAAGACAATGCAAAATACTTGGGAGTCTACCTGACAAAACAAACCCAGGAACTATATGAACACAATTACAAAACTCTGCACACGAATAATGTCAGATCTAAACAAATGAAGAAATATTAATTGTTCATGGGCATGCAAGCCAATATAATACCGATAACAATTCTACCTAAATTAATTTACTTAGTGCCATACCAATCAAACTACCAAAAAGTTATTTTATAGAGATTGAACAAAATGACAAAATTCATCTGGAAGAACAGAAGGTCAAGAATATCAAGGGAAGCAAAGAAAAAAAAATGTGAAAGAAGGTATTGTAGCAGTTCTAGATTTCAAACTAAATTACAAAGTGATAACCATCAAAACAATCTAGTACTGGCTAAGAAATATGGTGGTGAATCAATGGAATAGATTAGATACATCATACACAACAATAAATGATTATAGAAAGCTAGCATTTGATAAAATCAAAGATCCAAGCTTTTGGTAGAAGAACTCACAACCTGACAAAAATTGCTAGAGAAACTGAAAAGCTCTTTGGCAGAAACTAGGTATAGACTAACATCTCATACCATATACCAATGCATACATGATTTAGACATTAAAGGTGATACCATAAGCAAATTAGGAAATCATGGAATAGCTTACCTGTTAGATCTATCGAGAAGAGAGAAATTTAGGACAAAACAAGAAATACAGAACATTACTAAATGTAAAATGGATAATTTTCATATTACAAAATTTGAAAGTTTTTGCACAAACAAAACCAATGATACCAAAATTAGAAGGAAAGTAGAAAACTGAGGAATAATGCTACAGTATCTCTGACACAAGTGTCATTTCTCAAATATATTCTGAAGTGGAATCAAATTTA